AAGCAGCATTGTGGCCGGGGTAAGCCATTCCCATGTTTTATAAGCGAAATCATCTTTAAATATTTGTTGTTTAAAGGTTTCTTGTATATTTTATAGGGGAGACTTATCCTTTCCAATAAGATGGCCCGGACTATTGCATTTTTCTACACTCTGTTCCTGCATTGTCTAGTCTTCTTGGTAAGTGACATTATTTTCATTATTTTCAGTTTCCATTATATCCCGCACAGTATATCCAGGTACCATTTTATATTATATATCATTATCTGCCCATAAAAGACAGACCTCTTGGGGAGAAGTACATAATGAAAGAACTGCTTATTATCACTGAAATCAGTGTTTTATCTGAACCCTTACATCCTTGGCTGAGAATAGCCTAACCTGCAACAAGGTTACTATCCACCGTAAATCTGATCAGTACTAACGTTAAAGCAGACCTTCGCCCTCCCCACCCACATTACCTCATTACCCCCCTACCCCGCTCTTCTCTCATGCGTGGACGTGTTTTTATGTTTTCCCTCCAAATACCTTTTTTCTTTGGGAGCACTCCCGGCACTTCCAAGATTCTCGCCTAGGCATGGATTATGTCCCATTCGCCCACAGACTCCTTGGATAATTATACATGTGCCGTAGAGTACCCTGAGGCTTCCTGGCATGCACCACGTAATTATCCCAGGAGACCTCAGGGTACTCTACAGTGCATGTACTACTGCGCATCATCAGGGGCCTAGCTGTGTCTCTTCCTGGTTCTTGCAGCTCGCCCTTGACAATATGCCATGTTGCTTACGCATCATCAGGGGGCCAACTGCAAGAACCCGGCAAAGTTATAGAGGAACAACGTTAGATTCACTGTATGTGCTGAATTTCAGCATAATTTGGTGAAGAAGGTAGGTGGGAATTAATAAAATAAAAAGGGAGGGGTGAAATTCATCGTTTAGGATGTGTCCTTAATGTAGGTAAAGGACAATGGCTGATGGAAATGGTCATATGAGAATTACCTACATGCACCACTCTGTGGCCTTGCATGACTGCACCTTCCATGTCGACTATTCAATATCTACTTGCTTCAGTAGTTGGGTATGTCCCATTCATGGATTATTTTTCAGCAGAATAGGTCTATAATCTTTTATGACTGATAATTAAGGGTCATCTTAGGAGGAGTTAGCAGAAGGTTAGCAGAAGGTTTTTTTGCTTTTTAATTTTTCTTTTTTTTAATACTTGTGTGCTGCGGTACAGAGACCGAACCACACTGCTACTGCCAAGGGGTATTTACTGTCTTCCTGTGTTCTCCAGCAGCTAACTTGCTATTGTTTAATAAACAAAATGCAGCTAGCTTATACTGAATATTTGGTATGGCACCACTTTTATCTCCTAACCATTTTAAAAACCTGACACCCAAGATCCAACAGTATGCAAGTGGAAAAACACAGGTAGTAGCATACAAGTCTATGGTCAAAAGTTTGTGGACACTTCACCATCTCACCTACTATATGGCCCAAAGTATGAGGGCACTGTTTTCAGGTGTTTCCCGTGAAGGGTACTGTTACTGTTACAGAATACAAAGACATTTTATACAATTGTGCATTTCTAACCTTTTGACAACAGTTTGGGAAAGTCACTTTACTGTTTCGAAACAACTGTGTCCTTGTGCGCGGTCCATTCTAGGTCCATAAAAAATGGTTTGACAAGTCTTGTGTGGAGGAATTCAAGTGGTCTTCAGAGACCAGACCTCAACCCTATGAAACACCTGATTGGGCACACATTCCCACAGACACACTCCACAACCTTGTGGAAAGCCTTACCAGACGAATGGAAGCTGTTATAACCAAAGTGGGAGGGGAGGGGGGCAACACTCCATATTAATGACCATTGTTTTGGAATAGCATGTGTAACATAAAGTGCATTTTAAAATGTAGTACAAGCATAATGATGAAGAGCAAAGCAATCATCGGTATTCACTTGCCATTCATTTTGAGTTGTCAAAACAACGACATACCACTGCTGATTGGTTTCTGTGATACATTACCTTTTCACTTTGGTATTTACAATTCGAAAAAAATATTTTCTGGCAGGATATTGTTGGGATAGACATTAGTTAACCTTCCCCTTGCACCAAAAAATGTTTACAACTCTGCAGACTAAACATGATGTAATATATGTATTTTTTGGCTTTTTAGGTTCTGTACAAAACAGCCTGGAGTGAAAGTGTGGAAAGAGACTGCACCGCCTACTGCGTTAAAAAGTACGTATTTATCACTGGTGTTACTTGTGTCAAATGTGTTTTTTACTGCAGAAAATGATAATGATACAATGATTATGTTCTTTTTTCATAATTCTTTCCACTAAATAAAAATGATTAAGCCCTATTCCATCCTTTGTATTTACATACTTTACTATTTAAAAAACTATTTATATTCAGGGATGAACAAGGGAATGATTTACCCGAATTCCTGAGAAGCAGCACTTACTAGTATTTCCCATGAGAGACCCATCAGCATTGTAAACTATTCCCCCATCCCTTTGGCCATTTTTGTGTGTTTGATAACTGCGTACATTGTGGGAAAGCCTAGAAACACAGTAATGGAGAAGAGAGAGTCTAGTATACAGTTTCAGCTCCATATGTGTTATTACTCCATTAGCTATTCTTCAAGTTTACAACAACATTAAAACATTATCTATATATTCCTCTTTGTATACATGGTAAGACTTATACTGCATTACTCAGACAATGCATTAAAATTGATTGTGCTTCTAGTGCTAAAGTTGTATAGCATCTTCTATATTTGGCTATGTCCCAAGAAGACAGAAACATTTTCAAAGGAATTTTCTGGTAACACTAAAAAAAGCAAACATGGTTCTTCTGTGCAGGAACAGACTGGTCCCGGTGACATAAAGCTCCAATGCCTGAAACATATGTTGAAAATGTATCTACAGCATGACCTGCCACTTAGGACTCATGAACTAGGCATATTGCAAGGCAAATATAACGTATTTTCATGCAGTGTAAAATAAGCCTGCATTTGTGGCTCCTGGGAGGGGTTTTCCACCCAAAGCAATGTATGGACAGAAAATGCTGTACTCTGGTGTACACCTGCATGGGGGTAAGTCTCCAAACACAGAACCTCCATGCACGTGCCAGCGTTTGTGGGCGTATACGCTTTGTTTTCTGTATGTACGATGCTCTGTAATACGCCCATGTGCATGAGCCCTTAATCTGTTCATTTAGATACATTGATGCTCTATAGGTGCCAAAGTATCCAAACACGCAGACATCAATGAAAAGTAAACAGCAGCAAACTTACTATCATCCTTGAAAACATTGCAAAATCATCTAGCTTCAAGACAAGATTTTTACTGACCTTTAGAGTAGAGCCATGGCCAGAATATTATTAGACATTCAAATATTTACAGATTCATAAAAAGCAGTGGCATCCCTCACTGACCTCGGCAGATGCAGGCACTCCACTCCAAGCTATTATTTCAGTTTTGGATAGCTGCTGGTGGCCTAAATCTCCTGATAGATTTACATATATTTCTCAGGAAGTCCGGTGGTGGTGTTTCTGCTCAGCCTGGCCTGCCCTTGCCACCTGCTGTTTTTTTTATTAGTATCACAATATGGAGGCTGCAGCACAACGGTTGAGAATCCTATTGCTGCAGCAAGAAAAGTGAGCCTTTGCAGCTGTTAAGAAAAAGGTGGGAGCTGCAATGGGAAGCTCTCAGCAATGGTATACCTGAAAGATATAGGGATCCTTTAGGACAGGGGTCCCCAACCCCCGGTACTGGTCTGTGGCCTGTTAGTAACTGGGCTGCAGGATTCTACCATTATCCTGGTAGAATCCTGGACTGGTTAGAAATCTGGACCCGTGCATCACTACCAGGGGGCGTCGGCTGAACGTGCAAGCTCAGAGCTGCTGATCAGGTCCAGACTTTTTACTGGCAATTGCGCATGTATGCAGAAGCGCGTCCATAACTTTCACAGCCCTGTGAATATTATGGACCCGCTTCCCCCTACATGCGCAATGCAACAAGAAAAACTTTCTTTCACAAAACCGGTCCCTGGTGCCAAAAAGTTTGGGGACCGCTGTTTTAGGAGGTTCAACCCAACAACATCTATCTGTAACCAAACTATCAGTATTGGGAGGACTGACCCCTCATTTATGAATTATTTTGTCATATTTAATCAAAGCTAAACCAGCATAATGACATTTCTGTATGCTATGTCAATTCTAGGTATGCTGACCACTTTCACAAATTCCATGAGAATGGAGAAAACGGTGCAATGTGGCAGGAATAGAAGAATCTTAAATCCAGAGTCGTCTAATTCCCCCAGGACCAAATGACCGGATGTCTCTATACTGGCTTCTCTTCCCCGATGCCTGCATTAAACACCGCTGATTGACCTAGACTAGCTGATCTTTACGATACTGCAAAGTGGCAGACACAGGAGCTGAGAAAATGGATTGCTTATACATTTTTAAATAGGCAGCTGTCCATTTCCCCTTATCAGTGGCTTGTTACTTTCAGGAGAAAACAGAATTTATCTTCTAGGTAGTTCTTAAAATATCCTTTCCTTCCCTATCTTTCTGTGCCGTTCAAAGTCTAGACTGAAGAGCCACGACATTTACATTATGCCTGGAATTTGTGATTAGAAGCGGCATATATTTCTTATACCATGACAGCCAGACTTTATATTGTGCTGGGGAACCTTGCAGCAAAGCTTTCTGGGAGATCTAGTTTAGCTACAGCTGGGGAAATGCAGGTCAGCAATCATAAAATTATTTACAACAACAACAAAAAAATGCTTTTATAACCTAAATATTCCAGTGTGGCAATTCTAACAACCTTACAAGACATGTTCTTATTTCTCAGTGCACTGCTGAGATTTGACCGTAATATATATAGAGAGAGACATTCCACAATTCATTAACATAAAGAAAGCATGCTGCATGGGAATATGAAAATAGGAGTTATATTTTAATTATTATGGTTAAAAATAATACATCAGCTTACGTTTTACAAGCACTCCTTAAGAGACAAATGTCCTATTTCCTCATTAGATGGCCATGCAATGTCACCCCCATAGTGGTAGCAGCTATCTTGCATACAAGAAAGTGGCTTGTTCCCTTGGGTCCCTTCCTGGTCTGACAGTACAATTAAAGTGGGTTATTGTGATACCATCTCTTGCTCCTCTACTATCTCAATTAACCATCTTCAGCACTTTATTGTCAGCATTTAGACACGTGCTGTATTCTGGTGTTGGCGTATTGACAGTTTCATGTTTGATTGGGTACATGTAATCAATGGCCTGGTCGTTGGTGAAGGCTTATCAATAGATAGTTGTTGCTTTCTAATAGAGGAATGAGAACTAATTGGTTACGTGAACAATTGCCTTCTCTGCAGATTTAGAAAAGGATCTACTGGAAAGGTAGATCAATTCTCATGCTGCAGATGTGGAATTTTATTTCTTCATATTACACACGTGTATAGAATATATGTAGAAGGTTGCAGCAACTAATCAGAACTCTCTCTCTTGAGTTGGACTACAGCATGTGCTTTAAGCTGAATTGAATAAGGAGCATTACAGGTCATTGAGCCTGTACACATATATAAGATACTGTAACTAGTCAAAGTATCAGGCGGATCGTGTCTTTAAACATATTACAATCATATTCAGTGCTAGTTCCAGCTGGTTATAGGTTTTCTTTATATGCTGCTTGTTCTTGAATGCTGAAAGTTTCTCTTCTAGTTTATCACATACTTATATTTTTCTTGAGATTTTCTTTATTATTTCATGTTTGAAGCATCAAATATTTGATCAGACTGCACTGACACTGGAAGATGAGAATAAAATCGTTCTATTCTCTGTGGATGAGTGCATGTTGGAAGTGATTTGAAGCTTCAGTTTTCCTTTAGAAATATATATTCTTATTTGATTTATAAATGTGATTGCCTTGATTGCAGTTCTGAGAATATTCTGTTAATAAGGAAATATAACAAATGTACCCTATTATAAAGTTTGTCTTTTCTTTTGATTTTTAGCAAGTAATAAAGTTTGAACATTAAATCTGAGGGTGTTCTGTCATTTTTGGAGCGATATATTGAGCAAGGATCACCCCAGATAGATGTCTCACTGAGAATGACAATGAAGCATCTGCTCATCCTTGATCACACTGCTGGGACAAGCCACATTGTACTCTGCTGATGGGTGAAAGCAGAACAATTCATGCCAGCTTCAAATCTTTAGCATTGGTTATCACTTTATTGGGACCCCTAATGTCACATTTAATACAGTCTGATTGTATACGCTACTGTAGATTTACCAATTATGCAGTGTTAGTACAGGGTAGAGGGTACAAATAACATGCTTTGTTCACAGAAATATAGTTCTGTGTTTAAGAATGCATCATTAAATGTATTTTGTTTAATACAAGCATTATAGGCACATGCATATGATACGGTATAACTCTCTTGCAATCCTCTTTTCAGCAGAGCTCAGACTGGGAGAGAGATGCAGCAATCGGAGCCCGTAAGCTGTCCTGTATTGCTAGCTAAAAAAAAAAAGTGACATGCTTCTCCTTTCACTGTCTAGTTGCAGGCTGGGGGAGAAACAAGACCTCTTGCTGTTACTTAACTGCAGCAAAGAAATATCAAGTGTTTTGCTCTGCCAGACAGGGCTGTGCTGTGTGAGGTGCAGGGCTTGAAAAATCCACTCGTCCGCTCATCTGTGACGAGAGGACGGTGGAGCCCGACAAGCAGCTTCCCGGCCGGCCGTTGTAATTACACGGCCGGGAGCATTACATTCAAGCTATCGGGCGTCTCTAGAGACGCTCGATCGCTCTTATTAGCAGCTGTCACTGCCGGTCCCGAGATCCGCTGTGCCCGATGCGGCCGGGACAGGCACGGGTCTGTGACAGTAGATAAACATATTACAATCATATTCAGTGCTAGTTCCAGCTGGTTATAGGTTTTCTTTATATGCTGCTTGTTCTTGAATGCTGAAAGTTTCTCTTCTAGTTTATCACATACTTATATTTTTCTTGAGATTTTCTTTATTATTTCATGTTTGAAGCATCAAATATTTGATCAGACTGCACTGACACTGGAAGATGAGAATAAAATCGTTCTATTCTCTGTGGATGAGTGCATGTTGGAAGTGATTTGAAGCTTCAGTTTTCCTTTAGAAATATATATTCTTATTTGATTTATAAATGTGATTGCCTTGATTGCAGTTCTGAGAATATTCTGTTAATAAGGAAATATAACAAATGTACCCTATTATAAAGTTTGTCTTTTCTTTTGATTTTTAGCAAGTAATAAAGTTTGAACATTAAATCTGAGGGTGTTCTGTCATTTTTGGAGCGATATATTGAGCAAGGATCACCCCAGATAGATGTCTCACTGAGAATGACAATGAAGCATCTGCTCATCCTTGATCACACTGCTGGGACAAGCCACATTGTACTCTGCTGATGGGTGAAAGCAGAACAATTCATGCCAGCTTCAAATCTTTAGCATTGGTTATCACTTTATTGGGACCCCTAATGTCACATTTAATACAGTCTGATTGTATACGCTACTGTAGATTTACCAATTATGCAGTGTTAGTACAGGGTAGAGGGTACAAATAACATGCTTTGTTCACAGAAATATAGTTCTGTGTTTAAGAATGCATCATTAAATGTATTTTGTTTAATACAAGCATTATAGGCACATGCATATGATACGGTATAACTCTCTTGCAATCCTCTTTTCAGCAGAGCTCAGACTGGGAGAGAGATGCAGCAATCGGAGCCCGTAAGCTGTCCTGTATTGCTAGCTAAAAAAAAAAAGTGACATGCTTCTCCTTTCACTGTCTAGTTGCAGGCTGGGGGAGAAACAAGACCTCTTGCTGTTACTTAACTGCAGCAAAGAAATATCAAGTGTTTTGCTCTGCCAGACAGGGCTGTGCTGTGTGAGGTGCAGGGCTTGAAAAATCCACTCGTCCGCTCATCTGTGACGAGAGGACGGTGGAGCCCGACAAGCAGCTTCCCGGCCGGCCGTTGTAATTACACGGCCGGGAGCATTACATTCAAGCTATCGGGCGTCTCTAGAGACGCTCGATCGCTCTTATTAGCAGCTGTCACTGCCGGTCCCGAGATCCGCTGTGCCCGATGCGGCCGGGACAGGCACGGCTCTGTGACAGTAGATCAAAGGGAGTTCAGTATACGAACTCCCTTTGATCTCCTCTCAGTCCCCGAATGCATGAAGTGTTGTATATTACATCACTTCCTGCATTCAGTGTCACTCTCACAGCTACAGAAGCTGATGAAGCAGATCTCTGCTTCATCAGCTTCTCTGGGGGTCCCTAGGCGACATTAGGGGTCTTGGAGACCCCTGAGGTCTCCATAAAGAGGACCTGTCATGTAAATTGGCTATCACATAGGGGGCTTTTTAGCCCCCCATGTAATAGCAATAAAGTTGTATGTAAAAAAAAAAAAGTAATACAAAAATTAAAGAATTATAAAAAAGATAAAGAAGCATAACATTTTTTTTTAAATATTTTTTTAAGTCCCCGCCCCCCACATAAACACGCAGATATGCGTCGGGTGCGCCTATTGTGCCGCACATGTTACATATCGCCGCAAACGTCGGAGTGAGGACAATCATTTTAGAGCCATTAATCACTGATAACACTAAACTGATGAGCAGTAAAAGCATTTTAATCGCCGCATATGGGCATTTTTTGCGATTTTGCGGGCGCACGCAATTTTAAGGCTTGACATGTTTGGTGTCTATTTACCCGACGTGACCTCGACTTTTATGTTTTACTAAAAATATGGGTAGGAATAAATGTTTTATAACATAACGTAGGGAAACTTTGTTTTTTTTTTACATTTATGGTACTTTTTTCATTATATAGTAAAAAAAATAACACCCTCCCCCGTGGTGATTATATACCTCCAAAAGAAAGATCTATCTGTCCCCAAAAAATGTTAACATTAATTGCAAGGCTATAGTCCGGTCATGCTGACTGGTGACATTTTTGACTGGTGAGACACCATCAAATGTTTCAAGCCCTGGTGATGAGTCTCTGTAAATCTTAGGACAGGATTGCCAGAAAGGCAAATCCATTACCAGGTAAAATAGCTCCCTTTATATGTATTTACTCTGTGCATTTAGGGGAAAAAATAATGTACCAAGATTAGTTGTCAAACAATATAGAAGGTACAAAATATTTGACTACAGCTGAGCCCGTGGAAATGGCTGGATCATATGACTATATTATGTCTGGGGATGCTCAGAAACATAACCAGCCAGCCACTATCAAAGGGATTGAGCATTCGGACAGTTTAGAAATCCTCCATCAACATCACTCACCCCTGATCAGCCAACAAGCTCATCCTTTCCCCTGACCCCAGCTCCCTCCCCTCCCTACTCCATTCACATATCATTTTTGCTACAAGCAAACATTTATCTCAAATATCTGCACAGCACGATAACCAAGGTCTGAGCATTCTGAAATACATTCAAGTAAATCAGAATTCCAAACTAGACACTAATTTGATTATTGAAGCACTGACTCACCATTATGATCTGATCAGATATGTGTATCAGGTCTCCTTTATATCTATGTTTACTGCAATGCATTAAGTAATCGTTCATCGAGAGTACTTTCAGTACTTATTATTCTACACTGATTGGAACTAAGACAACACACCTTCATTTCTTCCTTTGCCAAATGGAAACTATATTGGTTTCGTACCAATATTGTTCTATTTTATACAGTTTGCAAGTTTTGAAGCTGATGTTTTATATTGGTTTTCCTTATTTGTATAGAAGCATTTAATACATAGCAAAGGATTCTCAAAGCACTATGGATTAGCTAAAAAGACAGCACATTAAAAGTAGCTCAATATAGTTGGTATCTTGATGAAAACCACCACTGAACTGATAAAGGATGAGTCATTTCTCCAACTCATCATGTACATTTTACCTTGAGCTATTGATCTCTCTAAACAACAGGTTGTGTTCAACACAGGGTTGAGAGAAAAGTGAAAGAACCATAGGGATCCACCTGTTAGATTCAAAACCAAAGTTTACAAGTTTGTGGTGAATGTGACCTGATCTGGCCAATTAACTTTATAGCTGCATTAAACTGAGATGGATGACCGGAGGGATGAAATGTGCAGTGCTGCTTAATACACTCAATAAGTGTACACTGGTCCATGTCTGTCTGAGAGATCTATAGATTTCTATAAGTTTTTCTTAGTAATCAGGGCATTTAAAGGAAAGCAGACAGTCAGTCAGTGCTAAGGTGCTGATGAGGAAATAAATATGTAATGTTATATATTTACCAAATAGACATTCCCCAGATAGTGATGTGTAATGTAAGCTGCCCAGAGAGTTGCTGATATGTTGACACCAATATGTCATACAGCATTACATCCCATAAATGATGCTGCTATTTCCCCTTTGATTGGACCCAAGTCTGAATATCCAGCCACAAGCAAGTGGATGCTTTTGAATCAAAAAAAGGAGCACACGTCACTGTCTGACATACTGGCAGCGGCCATTTGCAAAGCCGAACTCTAGCCCACCAAAGACTCTCATAGATGCTCTTTTCACCACCTATGCTCCAGAGGTACAGTATGATCTGATGAAATGCTGGGGCAGAGGGGCAAGATCTACTTGACTCAATCTAACAGCAATGGCTACTAGGGGGGGCAGTGGAGGTGCATGCACTAAGAGACCTGTAAATGCCAATTTATGAGTCGTAATATAAACATAAGATCATAGTTTGGCAAGTTGATACCTCTGGCAGCCCTGGCTCCCAAGGCTATGACCTATGTGACCTAATGAGATATCTCACCATGCAAAAAGGTAGTTAAATATAAGATATAGTTCTGGCTGTTTTAAAAGCTTTTTTTTTTTGCCCCAACAGAAACTACCACATACAGCCAGAATATAAAGTACCCCAGTAATGTATTCCAAGTGACAGTTCAGAGCCAGGCCAAATTGACAGAGCACGTGTATTTTTACCCTGCTGGTTCAGCTATTTTACTTTATTTGTGAGAGTTTTGTCACCCCAGTACATTCCAAGGGCATAAAATTGTTTCTCGCAATATAGGATAATATATGGATAAAGAATGCAAGAGCACTCTACATGTCAGAATATTGTCACATAACATTGATGTCAATAGAGCTTCATTTCCCAGTGGTGTTTTATATGCTGAGATAAAATGCTGTCAGTGGTGATTGACAACAAATCACCGAGGGGAATATCTTCTAAAGTCCAATGATAACATTTTACAATGACCTTTGGGATTTCTTTCTAGAGTCATTCTCAGCAATGACTTTACTCTACATATAATCCTACTTGAAAAATTACTGTATATAAAATACCTGAAGGTTCAGACAATGTCAGAGCATTTCATTATCTTCTGCTTACTTTAACTGTAAGTTATGTAAACTAGCTGACATGGCCTCAGCATTAACTTTTTACCAACTGACGATACTATACCACTGTTACTTTGCATTGCTGCATCTTTAGTAGCCTATGCATTGCCTTAGCACAGCCGTAAGCCAGATTCAGGTCCACTGGGTTTTGGGAGTCGCCTGCAAAGCCTGTGAAAGCCTTGGCTACGATCAGCTTCCATCAGTTCAGAGCTAGCAAATCAATTAGTATATTGGCTGCCTTAGAGCTTTCCAGGAAGGTCTGATTAGATTCTTCTCAAGGATGCCAGCTCATCCCAGTGTGCTGTGTAGCACATCTCTCTAAATTGCACTCCTTGCCATGTAATGAAGCTCCTTGCCTTACTTGAAACAGATATCCCCCTTGCCAACATCACCAGCTCCAGACACAGTACTTGCAGTGCCAGCAGACTTCCCCCAGGTCCTGCCAGCAGCAGTGCTACCTGACATTAAAAAATATATATATAAATTGCCACTTCTGACCACCTAAAATGCTACTTGCCTGGCTAAACATGCCCTCAATACTTCCTAAATCACAAACCACTAAAAGTATGCAGATTAGAAGTTGACATCCCTTGCTGCATATTTGCTTTGGCTCATTGACTTGGAAAGTATGGAAGCTACTGGTTAAGCATTTTCACAAGGAGAAGTTGGCAGTGGCATCCAGATTTTCTCCCAGTGAAGTTAATTTGATTTTCCTGCAGTGCCCAGTTTTCTCTGCTGATGCTCCTCCTGCACTGCTCTGCTGGCCCCTCTCTTTTTTTAGGGCCCCTGTGCAGCAGCCCATGTTTTACTGTAAGTATGGCCAACCCTTTAATGCGGTCCTCAGGATGGAAACTATGAATAGTATATTCATTTCCCTATTAGGAAAATAATTATATAATCAAACCTACCTATATACAACCATTGTATATATTACAGACCTGGAATCCATGCTTGGATTAATTTGATCGCTGTGCATGGCATTTTCATAGACAAGTTCTCAATTACAGCACTTGATTTCTGCCTTTAACTTGTCCACCTGTATTAATATAATTCTAGGTAACAATTCTGCGTGCAGTGGGCTCTTCTTAGGGTGTAACTGTACAAGAACAATCTGTGAAAGAAGCAGAGCAAGCGAGTTCAGATAATATTTCATAACAGAGATCTGTAGAGGATGTCCGCTTCACATGCATTTGGCTCCACAGTGTTGGTTTCAAGTGAACTGGAATACTAGACTCAGCACACAGCAATCTATAAATAGAGTCTTCTTAGTGCTTTTTCCCCTTACATTGCAGCCTTCTCAAACCTAGAAGTAAATTATTAAAGTTTAAATGATTATACATTGGCTGTGTTTATGCTATTATGTAATTTAGTGTTACTGTAATGTTTTATGCAATATTAATCCTTAAAGTGCACCTAGTGTTAAAAATCATCAGGCAATAGGAACGCTCCATAATTATCTTGCGTTCAAGTACACACAAAATATTTTTGTGAATGTAGCCACACCTCTAACTCCGGCCTGAGCCACCTCTAATGGCTTGCTAAAGTGTGGTTAACCAAGTGGCCTTCCAATTTTCTGACACTTATGACCTGAAAAATTAAAATAATATTGGAATCCTCATTCTAACTTTTGCCCCTTTGTAGAATAATCAGGCTGTCAGGAAGCCATAACCAGTCTGTGCGCCAGAAGCTCTCCATGTGCATGGGCACAGTTAGGCGCACAGAATTGTGCTCAGGTGTGTGGGCATTCCACGCCGTGCATGCACTCATTATGAACTGTGACCCCAAAACAACTATTTAAGGCTGAGGCATCCTAGCCTTAATGCTGAGTGATCTTAACTGTTCCTTGCTATCAAAATTCCTCTATCCTGATTGTGATCTCCCCTTACCAACCCGGCTTGCCTTAACCTTCCGATTGCTGTTCTGTACCCTCGACCATGGTTCATTCTTGACCAGGTTTCTGTCTGCTGTCTTGTGCTTCACTGCCCGCAAGGTATCGACCTGACTACATTTTGTCTGCTGATCTGGTACCTCGCTGCCCAATTGTCCCTGACTCAGCTTGACCTCGACATCACTATCAAAGATCTGCATTTTTTTGATCTGCATCCTGCCTGTGAGACGTCTGCAGTACTAATCTCAGCATTCTTGGTGGCTACGCTATCTTCCGGCACCCTTGCCACTCCTTGTCCTTGAGCACTTGTTCCACCTTCCAGTGGTTCTTGCACAGGAGCAGCATGAGAAGCAACTCTAGTCATCTCAGACTCCCCCTAAGGTTTGTGACACATGCATATGGTTTGCCATCTTATCATAGATGATATTTTCAAAATCAAGTTATAATTCCTCTTGTGCTCCTTTTGGTAACATATGTCAATAAGCAAATACCAGCTATAAAAATACAGATAAATGATGTGCAAGGAACATATTTGCTATTACCTTTAAAACATACATTCCATCCTTTTGACATGATACACTCCAAATCAATGTCACCTGCCATATAAGCCTGACTTTATTTCTGTTACCTGATGACCAGACATTCTGCTGTTAAGCCCTTTAAAAAGAGGATGCAGGAGACCTCTGCTCTTCTTTACTTTCCCACCCATTCAAATACAGGAAAAATGGAAACACTGGGTGGTAGTCGGTCACATAAAGGGTACAACAAAGCAAGCAAGATATGAATGTGCAGCTGTGGATTGGATAAATCTGCATGGATTAACTGACTTGAAATCATATGGACTGGACAGTTATTAATCATTCACCCAAAATGAGATCAAAGAGAAAGTAGATGCAGTGCAAAGAAGCAGCTTAGCATGCTTTCACTTTAGTAATATGCACTTTGTATCCAGTTAAAAGAGCCCAGTTCCTAAATATGTATATCGAAGGCAGGGAAAGAGCCATAACACTACCATAGCTACTCCTATGCACACTGACCTGCCGATTGCAGGTCACATGACGCCTATCAGTACCTGAGCATACCAAGAAGGTAGACCTTAGCAGAGGGTATAAAGTGTTGGATCCTGCTGATTGACAGCTGATTCTGCCCCACAGACCTTCATTCGTTAACTAATATAGTGGCATATGTGGCTAGTTTTACCAGGTAAAATAAGAGATCAGTCATAGTTGTATTATAAAACTCAAGACAAGAGACTTTAAGTTTGGACGCATGTGCTTGCGTCATCATACCTTCATCGCTTAAGGATTGTATTGCGTATTCAAGCAGAGACTTATATCCTTGCTTAACTCAAGTTGTATCCTATCCTCCTCATTATTGAAGGAGGCTGTATGAAGGAATACAGTCCTATCATTTGTGGCTTTCATTACTACATTCTTACCTTTGGCCATATATATTCGCAGCTGAGATCCAAGTGAGTAACCCTTCGTTAGCTGGTTGTAACAGGAACACACTTATGGGTCCAGCAGCCTCCCAAAACCAAGCCCGCACAAGTCGCGCCCCAGCCCCATAGGCTAGCGTCCAATTCCAGAATTAAATCTGGCTTGGTTCCGAAGATTGCCATTCCATTCCAAGCATCCATGTGCCAAAGCCACTAAGTGAATTCGACAAAGATGTTGTCTCCTACGATTGTAAGATAAATTAATTTGAAGATACGCTGCATGGCGTGGTAATAAAGAGGCCCTGGAAAAATGGTCTGTATGGAGGAGAGCAGACCCACGATCCTGGCCAAAGACCTCAAAGAGATCCAATCCAGATGACAGGCCTTCCGGAGTTCCCTCTTGATGTTGGCAACCTTGGCTGCAGAAAGCTGGAGCAAGGATTTGACTAAATTGAAGCCAAGAAACTGTACCTGTTGGGATAGTGGAGGATATTTGATAATAAAACCCAAATCCTACATCCAACAGATAATCTAGAAAGTCTGAGTGCGTAGGCTGTCCGTGCTGCTGTTAAAAAGATCTTATACCCCGGGAACGGAAAAACACCATCACCGGCTCATCAGCTTGGTGAAGCACCATGGGCGGAGCTCAGTTCGAAAGGGAGGCAGGTGAACTGCCAGAGACTGGACTGCCAATGAAAACAGAGAAAGCATCTGCAATCTGGATGCACAGGAACAGTGAGATAAGTGTCTTTCAGGTCCAGGCGAGTGAACAAATTCTGGTCCAAAAGCAGATCCCTGAGAGGATGGATTCCCTTCATCTTGAAGTGACGATAAACCAGTGGCGTCACAAGGGGGGTGCGGCCCGCACCTGGGTAACGCCCATTGCCGGGGTGACTGTCAGTCATTTTGGTGTCACCCCCTCTAAAAAGTCGGGCACTCGGTCATGGACCGAGAGCCCTGTAGTGTAAGGAGAGAGGAGGGGACCTGGTGGCATACTTCATCCGGCTGGGTAAACGTCCCCTTCTCTCTCTGCCGGCGTCAATCAGATGGCCGCGCATGTGCGATGCAATGTCATGAACACGCCCGGCCTTGGGACACCCCTGTGATAAACCACATAGTCGATTAAGGTCCTGAGGATGATAACTGGGTGAAATTCTACGGTCTTCTTGCGCCCCAGAAAGATGTTGCTGATGAACCCCAGAGAGTCTGGAGCCAGCTGAAACCCTTTGGTTTGTAGCTCTTGCAATTCCCTGTGAATGAGTTATGGAGCCTCCCAACTGCAGAAGAGGGGCATCGGAGGATAAACCTAGAGGAGAGGAGACACAAATT